GGAATGAGGGGAAGGTGGAAGTGGAAACCTACCGATGTGAGAGTGGAGCTCAGCTGTTTGCGATCAACAGACGGAGGAATAGGGATTGAGCGTCCCACAGACTCTGACATCACTGCACCACGTTGCGACGCACTCTTCTGCGCCTCAACAATCAGCCTATTCTTGTCCGTGCGAATAGTGATCTCCTCGGGCTTGAAGTTCTTCGCGTTGAAGTACACCTTGAAGTGGAGCTGCAAGGCAAACAAGTCACTACCACATTATCAATGCCTCAACTACTCAAGCAAGAGCACAAATTCTACCAACCTTGCCGTCTTTCCCTACTTCGTAGGCATCTTTCAGGAAGTCCAGTGCACCAACCTCAGTGAACTCCGCTTCAGGGTGGAATTCACGAGGCTCGATGGCACTCATCTCACTCATCATCTTGTTCAAAGCCGCATCCATGGCAGCGAAAGGCTAAAATGGGGTGGGGAGAAGAAAGTCCATGTTAGACACGAGGCTACGACTGTTAGGCATGACAGGGATATGTGGAGAAATGCGTGATGCCACTCACCTCAAGAGAAAACAAGTTCCTATGCATGCTCATGATATCGTCACCAAGTGTTCGTCGAGAGCGTTCAATCCAATTTGCCACCTCGTCGAATGGCATCAATGCCAATTGAGGGAATTGCCAATCGAGAAGACTGCGTCTTCTTTGCGCCAAGTCGTATATATCGCGTGAAGGAGTGATTGACATTTAGTTCGTGTAGAGACTTTCAAACCAAAGATTGAATGAAGACTCAATCGCTTGTTCTCTTTTATATCTATTCCCTCTCACTACTTCATTGGTTCATTCACTTCTAACCACTCATGAAGCACTAGATTCCTCTAGGACTTTTGGCATTGGCTGATTTCGCCTAGTGTACGCACACACTTCAATTTTGCACTTTTAGCATTGGGCCAACTTCCAACCAATCGAATGCCACTTAGTCTGTCATTTGCATTCAAGGTTGTCCCAAATCTAGGTCTGGCTTCCTCTCGAAAATTCTAGTGCAATATTTAGCCTATTCCAGTATTTTCCAGTTAAGGTTAGAACATTCTGAATGATTTAAGATGAATGCCTAATCTACTCGTGCTGTTAGTTCTGCATGGAACCAACAATTTCAGTGACATGCAATAAGTTTTTCGTCTGAGTTCCGAATTGGATTCTCTACCAATCCACTCCTACCTACCATTCATTCTAATTACACTAGTATCAATGGGACGCATAAGTTACCTCTGCCAACTAGTACAAAGTATGATTTGAGGAGTGCTCAACACAACAATAATTGTTCAAAGCTGTCTATCGTGCTAGAAAATTAAACCTTCAATGGTCGTGCAGATAGCTCCAATTGCTCTCTCAATTACGACTCATTTCTGCAAACGGCTCTCTTCGCATTATTCGCTTCCTCACTTCCCACACCCACACTCCAACCACATTCATACCTCTCCATTGAGTGCAACCTTTCTTACTAGAGATTGAGACATTCAATTTACTCTTGTCTAACTTTTCTTCAATCGTTCCGGCCTCATAGTCCCAATTCCGATTCTCCACTTCCAGAACAGCAACTGAAGTTTCAAATCGTCCTGTCTAGTGATCTTGTTGACTGCTTGCCTATATGCTTTGCAGATCCCAACGTCAATGAACCAACCCATAGGCAGGATTCAAGGAACAAAAATGTGAATTAGATTTACATAAATATCTACCTAAGTCAAAATGTCAATACTTTCACTCAGTGTCCTCTTAACTACATTACCAAGTGAAAATGCTACCACGCATTGTCAGTTGGAAGCTGGGGAGAGTAGTGGAGCTTCGTGAGACGCAAATGAGCAAATGGTACTCACACTCGAATTTGCCTCATTTCGATGTAACCGAATGAGTTGTGTCTGCATTCGACTTTATCACACTTGGTTATTTTCATGGTTTCACGTGGTGTGGCACATATTTGGTCATTAATGGTGCAATGTTGAGAAACACTTGTTTACTGCAAAATATGACTGTTTATGGAAGCAGCCAGATCAATTGAAGCAATCAGCAATATTTTCTATCGATTAAAGTTTTTTGATGAGATGACTCGTAAACGTTCATTGGATGAATTGGTTTGAAATTTAATTGGATGCTCCTGTTTATGACACGTAAGATGCATGTACAGAGAGGCTGTGGTCACGTGACGTAGGAGAGCTTGCCACAGATGTCTAAAGTGTGAACACAACTGAGGCATGAGACCCGATTGAAGCTAAGACCTTCTCCACATTTCTAGAGCTTTGGAGACAATTCACTCTTACTGGGAGAGCACAGTACGTTTCAGTGGCGGAAGCTGGTGCACACTCAGGTCCATTGGAATTGTCCGGATAAGGCAAGCACCAGACTTTGGGCAACGTAGAATGCACAAGACAAAGGAAGTGGTTGGCATTCGAGTGGTTGGAAGTTGATTCAATGCTAAAAGAGCGAATAAGTGTAGTGAAGTACTCAACCGATGGGGGATCTGATGTGATCGAGTATGAATCCTTTCTGTTTTCACCTTATCTGTTGCCAAAGATAAAAAACAAGCTCCTGTTTCTTCAGATGGCGTTTCTGTGCTAAGGCGTTGGAAGGACAAATTGGTCAAGGTCTCCTATCGTGTGAAATAATGAGTTTGTTAGGAAACAGTAAACCCCCAGGTGCACGAATTTTCACGTTTCAACTTACCTCCACGTGGGCAACGTATACTCATACGGCAAAAAAGTCTATTAACTGGCAGTTGACTTCTGACTTCAAACTTCCATAACCCCACTGTATGTCATATTCGACCCCTTCCACAGTACTCATCTAGCCTTTTATCTGCCTTTGTGTCTGTCTGTCTGTCTGTTACATCTTTGAATCGCTCTTCTTTCCCCCTGTCGAATTTTTCTCACTTTAATGTTCCTCCCCTCTGTGAACCCCGAAGTCAACTAAAGGGCTAATGATGACTATCAAAATGCCTGTCATTTGAAATAAATAAATAAATAACTTCAGCGTTACCTTATTCGAGTTCAGTGTGATTAGATTTTGGGTTTGAAAATTCTCCTCATTAGGATATCTACCCTACTAAGTGGTACAATTATGTGCGAAAGGTAGAACACTTCATGAAGCTGTAAGAACCGAGTTAAGCACTGGAGTGAACTCTCATAGTATAATTAAGTAAAATGACGCTGGAAGAGAAGAATTGAAGTACCTCTTTTGGGGTGGCGAATGGAGCGAATGAAGCGAAAGAATGGAAGGAGAGGTTGGGATGTGGTTGGGGGTGTGGGTGTGAGTTCAGGAAGAGAGAAAGCGAATGTTGTGAAGAGAGCCGTTTGCAGAAATGAGTCGTAATTGAGAGAGCAATTGGAGCTATCTGCACGACCATTGAAGGTTTAATTTTCTAGCACGATAGACAGCTTTGAACAATTATTGTTGTGTTGAGCACTCCTCAAATCATACTTTGTACTAGTTGGCAGAGGTAACTTATGCGTCCCATTGATACTAGTGTAATTAGAATGAATGGTAGGTAGGAGTGGATTGGTAGAGAATCCAATTCGGAACTCAGACGAAAAACTTATTGCATGTCACTGAAATTGTTGGTTCCATGCAGAACTAACAGCACGAGTAGATTAGGCATTCATCTTAAATCATTCAGAATGTTCTAACCTTAACTGGAAAATACTGGAATAGGCTAAATATTGCACTAGAATTTTCGAGAGGAAGCCAGACCTAGATTTGGGACAACCTTGAATGCAAATGACAGACTAAGTGGCATTCGATTGGTTGGAAGTTGGCCCAATGCTAAAAGTGCAAAATTGAAGTGTGTGCGTACACTAGGCGAAATCAGCCAATGCCAAAAGTCCTAGAGGAATCTAGTGCTTCATGAGTGGTTAGAAGTGAATGAACCAATGAAGTAGTGAGAGGGAATAGATATAAAAGAGAACAAGCGATTGAGTCTTCATACAATTTTTGGCTTGAAAGTCTCTACACGAACTAAATGTCAATCACTCCTTCACGCGATATATACGACTTGGCGCAAAGAAGACGCAGTCTTCTCGATTGGCAATTCCCTCAATTGGCATTGATGCCATTCGACGAGGTGGCAAATTGGATTGAACGCTCTCGACGAACACTTGGTGACGATATCATGAGCATGCATAGGAACTTGTTTTCTCTTGAGGTGAGTGGCATCACGCATTTCTCCACATATCCCTGTCATGCCTAACAGTCGTAGCCTCGTGTCTAACATGGACTTTCTTCTCCCCACCCCATTTTAGCCTTTCGCTGCCATGGATGCGGCTTTGAACAAGATGATGAGTGAGATGAGTGCCATCGAGCCTCGTGAATTCCACCCTGAAGCAGAGTTCACTGAGGTTGGTGCACTGGACTTCCTGAAAGATGCCTACGAAGTAGGGAAAGACGGCAAGGTTGGTGGAATTTGTGCTCTTGCTTGAGTAGTTGAGGCATTGATAATGTGGTAGTGACTTGTTTGCCTTGCAGCTCCACTTCAAGGTGTACTTCAACGCGAAGAACTTCAAGCCCGAGGAGATCACTATTCGCACGGACAAGAATAGGCTGATTGTTGAGGCGCAGAAGAGTGCGTCGCAACGTGGTGCAGTGATGTCAGAGTCTGTGGGACGCTCAATCCCTATTCCTCCGTCTGTTGATCGCAAACAGCTGAGCTCCACTCTCACATCGGTAGGTTTCCACTTCCACCTTCCCCTCATTCCACTCATGCTCCTTCTCTAGGATGGTGTGTTGGTAGTTGAGGCGCCTGTTGATGAGCCCAATTACAAGGCAATCAGATTGCAACCGGAGGGCGGTTTGGCTATTGAGCCGAGTGAAGTGGAGGAGAGGCAACTGGCAGTGAGAAGTAAGGAATTGTTTAGATGTAATCTGACACTTTCAATTTAGACAAGGATGGTGTGGAAATAGTGACGGGAGAGGATGGATCGAAGAGAGTGCATTTGGAGCTGGCAGTTGATGGTCACTTTGGACCGAAGGACGTGAAAGTGTGGGCCAAGGGCAACAAGGTGTACGTGCAGGGATCAGTGAGGAAGGAGGAGAAGACGGGCGAATCGACTCACACTGAATCGCGCGAGTTCTACAAGGCGTTTGTGACGCCAGGTGTGATGGATGGTAGCAAGGCTCAGGCGGAAATTGGCGATGGTCGTTTGGTTGTCGAGGTTCCCTTGTACAAGTGAAAAGTCAATTTAATGAATAAATGTTGTCGCATATTACCTCGAGTGTCTTGCCATTTTGTTTTTCGTGTTGTTGAATGCAATCGTTTCCTTCCTTCGACTGTTTCATTGTCAAGGTCGTAACTAGAGGCATATTTCAGAGTTGTAGCTTGTTCATTGACATCGTTTTAGCTGTGTGTCCGACGTGAGGTCATGTTGAGGCTTGGGGACATGAAGGAGTGGCATTTATTGGTGGAATTGAGTGAAGGAGTTGTGAAATTTGCACTTTTAGATGTGAGACTACCCTTTTAGTAAGCATTGGGCAAACTGAGTCCAAATTACATATAGCTAAGAGTGTAGGCTACTCTTAGTTAGTTCTCAATACTATTTGTATTTAGTAGTTTCCCACAATGGAAGGAATTGGAAGAATCGCGTTTTTTACCATGGTTGGTATTAATGGCATTGAATAGGTTATTTGTGGAAAATATGGCAGCTAAGAGAAATGGAATTGATTTTAGTTAATTGATGCCAAAAATGTTTCAGAAATGTTGACTCAGATTGGAGATAATTATTCGAATTTGGTAGGTTTTCCTATGGAAGTTATGGGGTTGAGTAGAGTAGTAGTTAATTTCTGATACGCATACCACCTGTCCAGACAGCTCATTTTTCTGAATTAAATTTTCTGAGCTTAAATTTTCTGGGTTACTCTGAGATATTAGGCTATTTAGTGTCCTTCGATTGTTTTAATTAATTTTTTCCATTTGATTTGTTTAATGAGTCTGTTTATCTTTTTTGCCAATTTTCCAATTCTTTTTTTGTTATTTATTATTTAAAAGATTGTTAGATAGAAAATATTATTGAATTGATTTAGTTCACTTTTAAATTTTAAATTTGATGCGTTTAAAAGTCAAGCGGAGCAGCAAACAGCGCTCTTCCACTTCGACGCACACACCTCCGCCCCATTCTTTCGCTTCTCTGTCTACGACATGATACCCCAAATGGACTTGCAGAGTTCACTCAAGTACTTGTCTCTGTAACTCCTGATTCATGAAGTGTCCTAGCCAAATTCAAATCCAATTGTAGGTGAATAAATAAACGTTGAAGATGAATTTTAAATAAAGTATGCACCTTGTTTATCGTTTGCTAACCATTTCACTAATTCACACTTGAAATAACCATGACCAATTTGACCCACTAACGGCTTAGCACGGATAGGCTAATCGAAGAAGAAAGAGCTCGTTACGTCCTTTGTCGACATGGAAGGTGGCAACAGAAATGATTTACGATCGATCACATCACAGCACTTCATACCTCTTATTAATTGAGAATGTCACTACACTTATTCACGTGTTTTGCATTGAGTCAACTTCCAACCACTCGAATGGTACCCACTTGCATTGTCTTATGCTTTCTACGTTATACCAAGTCTAGTACTTGTCTTATCTGGACGATTCCAGTGGCTCCGAGTCTGTAATAACGGCCAATTCTAGCGAGCATTGTCCTCCCCTTGCTTTAACCAACCAAGTAGGCGTCATCTGCCTCCAATGTTCTAGAAAT